GTGCGACTTTTTGAATTTTTGCGCGACAAGTCGAAAAGTGAGAAAATTGCCCGAAAAGTCGAAAAGTGCAACTTTTTGCGAAAAGTGAAACTTTTTGACTTTTTGACTTTTCGACTTTTTGAATGAATTTCAGAATTCTCCGGCTGCGTGCAACCACGGCCGGTGGCGAGCTTAGTTATAATACGGCACCTAATATTTAGGGTACCCAAAAAGGGACCATAATTTTGACATCCCACCATTTAGGATTTAGGCCTAGGATTTAGGATACCTCCTCGGTACCCAAAATGGAGAATTGAATGGAAAGAACATGGAATAGAACATGGAAACTCGAGGTTCTTAAGGATGTGTAGGGATGTGCAGGGTTCTGGGCTATTCCCTAAGTAATGGAGATCCACATGGAAAACAAAGTGGAAAGTGTGGCTTATATACGTTATAAAGGGGTTGTTTACCTTCGCAAGTTGCCCCTCTACTTTTGAGAATATGATGCATGGTTATGAAGGGCGAAAACTGAAAACACATGAAAGTCAGTAAATATGATGAAAACCGACTTGAAGAAAAAGATGGAAACTGAGGATCCAGTGCGACGAAGCATGCCGAACTACGAAGAAAACAGCGGAACAAGCATGAAAATGGTGAGAACAGTAAGTCTGAAAACTATGATGGCAAATCCTGAATGATGAGCAACTATACCTTAGTTATACAAGGAACCGAGGACCACGGTATTGGTATCTATTACCAGGGAGACCTTTGAGAGGGATACATAGGTAGTATAATCACCTGTCTGTCCGGAATTGCTATGCTTACTGATGACTGTTACTGTGTATTAGTGAGAAGGCTTGCATGACCCTGATTACGTCATACCTTCGGCATTTTAGTATTTGCGTATACTACGGTCACCCGGGAAACTTCAACAGTAGTAGCCCCCTTAAGTACATAGAATATGGCTTTGGGTATGTTACAATAAGATCCCCACATACCCCATATTCTATCTACTTAAGGGGGACTATAATACTGCTTTATCCAAACCGTGCCTTGGTAAAACATCTCTGTGGCAACCCATGCGGTTTAGGGTTTAGGGTTAAGCTGGGAGGCAGACTAGCATTAGTTCGACCGTTGCATAGGGACTACTGGCATAATATCGGCTATGCTGCTGAGTATGTCGGTGCAGTGTTCTTAGAGCTAAATGGTAGTTCCCCTAGATGGGGGGGGGGGGGGCTTGAATAAAGACTCCCCAAAAACAACAATATAGGGACCCTCAAAGAGGTAACCCTAATTTTGGCAAACCCTCACATAGGCATGCGCAAAGTAATAACGCACCATCCAAGGCGATGGAGGAAAGGCTAGTAGACTCATCAGCTTTTGGTGGTAATCATCAACACAGGCTTACAGTGTAGGAGTCATGCGGGCTAATGTTATCGTGGTAAGAGAGGGCAGCAGGTCGCCGTTTTGGACGTATTCTAGGGGGATCTGCAATGACTCTGGATTGATTTTTGGTTTGCCCCGCCCAAACTTTAAAGGGCCCATAGGTTCAAAAAGAGACATGGTACTTTTCACGGATAAGGGGACCCAATAGAAAATCTAAAGCATGATAATCCTAATTATTTGATATTGTTGGGAGCCTCAAAGTGGTACCCCTAATTTTGAAAATCCACACCCATGGTCATAAGGGCTACTGCTCACTACTGGGCCTCCTCGTCGTGGTGCTCTTCCAGATATGGATGACGCAAGGCGTCATGCGCAGTCAGTCGCTTGTTCCTGAGGGCCGCTTCAGGGGGCACATGAAAACTTCAAAGCAAACGCAGGATTTCTGAAAAATCTGACCATGTGGGGGTTGCCAGCTTCTTCAATGCCCGTAGGGGTTACTGGTGTCTACAAAGATCCTGAAAAGAGACCCCAAATTTCGTAACTTCCCATGTAGTCGCAGCAGAGGAAGGTTGCTGGCTTTTAGCCTGACAAGCTGAGAAGGACGAGTACAAACCACTCTGTGATCCTGAAAGGGCGCCTCCATAATGGATTTGGTGGTTTCCCTAAATTCGCCGAGGCTG